CAGTCATCCAGGTCATAATAATCCAAGGAGCTTGGAAAGAAAAGCAGCTAAGCTAGACTCGTCACATGAGCCAAGGCGTAAAAAAGGGTTTGTGTCATTTTTCACTCTTCACTTTCCCTTTTTCATTCCTTTCCTCGTGTAATGAGGCACATGATCAGTAGTGGGTCAGCAGCCGTCTTAGGGACAACTCCCACTAGAGCTTTAAATACCTGGGACCATCCACCATTTGGTCTTAGAACTGAAGAAGCTTCTCGGATGAGCGTTTAAACGTCTTCAGGAAACTTAAAGAAGTCCAGTTGCTTCCTTACTGATGTGTTATCATGACAGGGTTTTGACCCTGAGACACATTGTTTTTAAAGTGAAGCTTCTGCTGAATGAGTATACACAATACAGTAAAATATACAAAGATTTTCTCGTACCATGTGATCTTATTAGTTACATGTTCGACTGTGCTTCACGCTCAGGATCCGTCTGAGGCCTCGTATCCTGCGGGACGTGTCAGTGAGCGACACACGGACCACTGTGCAGGGGACAGAAATCAGCTTTCCTGTCGGTATCGCACCTACTGCCTTTCACTGCCTGGCCTGGCATGAAGGAGAGGTAGCCACAGCTCGGGGTAAGGACTTTTGTGTCAAGATTATGTGGGTCGGTGAATGGTTTTCATATCTAAATGAATCAGTCTTTCTGTTTGTCTGTGTGCTTTTTTTTACTTACTAGATTATTTTAAAGTATAAGAGTGTTTCACACAGAGTTAAATCCTTGCTAATTAGTGCTTAGTAGCAGCTGATAAAATGGTAGAATTTAATTGACTGAAGCTGGAGTGCAGATGGCGTGAGCCTTGGGACAAGCCGTTATTTGTCAGAGAATTTCATTGGCAGCTTAACTGTTTAAATGGATTGGATTTATATAGCGCTTTTCAAGGCACCCAAAGCGCTTTACAATGCCACTATTCATTCACTTTCACATTCACACACTGGTGGAGGTAAGCTACAGTTGACTGACAGAAGCGAGGCTGCCATATCGCGCCATCGGCCCCTCTGGCCAACACCAGTAGGCAGTAGGGTAAAGTGTCTTGCCCAAGGACACAACGACCAGGACAGAGAACCGGCGACCTTCCGGTTGCAGATACGCTTCCCAACCCCCTGAGCCACGGTCGCCCGTGTTTTTAAGGGTGTTTTTACACCTGTAGTTTGTTTCCTGTGGTCTGAATCAGTTTCAATTTGTAAATTTGTAGCTTTTTCCCATGGTTAGATTGTTACACAGAGAAAAATTCAAATGAACTCCAAGCGAACTAAAAAGCATCATTATACACAAAGTGAGAACATTCACTGAGCTTATAGGCCAAATGTGTCTGGGGCAAGAGCAACAAAAGTGAATGCAAGAGAAAAAGTGCCATGTTATGGACTTTTGGAGACTGTGGAGAAATTACATTAATTTCACTGCTAGCTGGCATCTATGGTACCCTGATACATTCCAGCATGCAAAGCATACATGGCTAGTGAAAGGTGTTTAGCTCAAACTTGTAATGTACTTGTGGTAGTTGGATCAGAGTTGAACTTTGGTTGGCACTCGTTCACACCGTAAACTAATCACTCTGGAGTTCGTTTGGAGCCCGACTGAGACAAACTCCTCGAAAAGCTCTTGGTGTGGTTGTTGGAGTTGTTTTGGTCCACACCTGAGTATGATTACCGTGTTGACACCTGCACAAGGGAAACACACTAAGGGGGAAAATGAACCAGAGTTTGAATTAAACACACTAAACACTGAAAATACTCTAGGAGGCTTCAAGCCACCTTAACCTTAAGCCTTGAGATGTGTGTTATTGAGAATCTCACCCACATCTGCTGTGGACACCAAAAACACTTTTTACATGAGGCTGTAAGTATGCTTTTGCTGTAAAGTTGGACATTTAAATGCGGGAGTCATAGTAACACCCCAGCCTTCATCTCACAGCCACCGAGGCGCTCAACACCTGCTACATCACCAGCACATATTCCACATGTTCAGTGGAGGAGATCGTGGCGGCAGCACCCAACGGTTACCGCTGGTTCCAGCTGTATGTGTACCGAGACAGGAAGCTGTCGGAACAAATGGTGCACCGCGTAGAGGCGCTCGGGTACAAGGCATTGGTCCTCACTGTCGACGTCCCCTATACTGGAAAGCGCCGCAATGACATTCGCAACCAGTTCAAACTTCCACCACATCTCAAAGTAAAGAACTTTGATGGAGTATTTCAGGTAACAGCCAACAGTTTTCTCTATATTCATTGTGCTCCAAAACATGCAAGTACTTTTCTAAGAACACAAAATGAGCTAAGACAAAGACTACTCATATTCAACTGTGTTTTTGATGTTGATTTTATACCGTCATAAATGGCACAGATGCAATCGTTGCCCCTTGGCAGTAATTTCAATGCTAATTTCTAAGAATCTATTACCTTACAGTCTGGAGTACAGTATTTGTCCATCAGGAAGGTGGACTTCAACTTAAATGTACAAGATATCCAAACTCTAATGTTACTTAAATGCACCAGCAGTGTCAGAGTTGTCCCATTATTGCATTTTCAGTAAAAACAGCACATTTATAAACCAAAGTGAACACTTAAGAAGAGTTGTACAATCACAAACATGCACTGTAAGCAGGAGACAGCAGGCCCAGAGGAGTATGGGATACCAGCGAACACCCTGGACCCCTCAATCAGCTGGAAGGACGTCTACTGGCTACAGTCCATCACACGCCTACCTATCATTATCAAGGGTATCCTGACCAAGGAGGATGCTGAGCTGGCCGTGGAACATGGTGTTCAGGGCATCATCGTGTCAAACCACGGGGGGAGACAGCTGGACGGAGGCCCAGCCTCGGTACTCGCTGACCACGTTCATTGCTACATTCTTTTATTCAAGATCATGTTCATAAAATGTACGATAGATAACCAGTGAAAGTCTGGGATTATTAGTCTTTTTGTTTACCTCTTCACAAAACAGATTTTCAGTCTATTTCACAGCATTTTTCAAATTATGTTACCGCTTCACAGCAGTAAAGTTTCATAGCAATAACCCGAGCTGCAGAAAGTACGGGGTTGCTATAATCTAATTTCAGCACGTTTTTTCTTTTTGTTTGTTCGCTCATTGACCTATAGTAGCTTACTCAGATACATATCTGAGTGTTCAATGGTGCAGTAAGGTTATCTCTGTCTCTGTTATAACAGATTGATGCGCTGCCAGAGATTGTGGACACTGTACAAGGCAGAATTGAGGTCTATGTTGACGGAGGAATCAGAACAGGAAGTGATGTACTGAAAGCGCTGGCCTTGGGAGCCAAGTGTGTTTTCATTGGCCGTCCAGCAGTGTGGGGCCTCGCATACAAGGTACGATTATGACAGCACATTGAGGTGTTTGTTTTCATTGATTGTAGTAATTATTTAGTTAACACCAAGTACGCATTTGAGATTACAGAATTCAATTTGCTTTTAATTTAAATATGCCCTGTGTGATCTTTTAGGGAGAAGAAGGAGTGAGGGACGTACTGCAAATCCTAAACGATGAGTTCCGTCTGTCTATGGCTCTATCAGGTGAGTCTGATGCAAACTTGAAGGACATGGCTGTAATCATGCTAATATATAAACAGGCTTTAGGGAACATTTCAGCATTATTTTTATTACTGTTTTATCGATTGTGGCTCAAGAGTGTGGAGTTCGCCTTGTAATCGGAAGGTTGCTGGTTCGAGCCCCGGCTCAGACAGTCTCGGTCGTTGTGTCCTTGGGCAAGACACTTCACCTACCGCCTACTGGTGTTGGCCAGAAGGGCCGATGGCGCAATATGGCAGCCTCGCTTCTGTCAGTCTACCCCAGGGCAGCTGTGGCTACAACTGTAGCTGCCTCCACCAGTGTGTGAATGGGTGGATGACTGGGTGTGTAAAGCGCTTTGGGGTCCCTAGGGGGGACTAGTAAAGGCGCTATACAAATACGGTCATCCACCCATACATTTACCATTTACCATGTATGTTTATTGATCCAGGTTGCAGGAATGTAGCTGAAATCAACAGGAACCTCATTCAGTTTTCCAAGCTGTGACCGCCAGCAGAGGGCAGCACTGAGGACAATTATCCCACTAAACCAGACTGAGACTTAAACAAAGAGCCTGAGAATCCATTATAACAAAAAAACAAACAGAAACAAGTTTACCTCACGCAGTACATGAAAACAACCATCATCAGGAATAAATTGTGGGACTTCTGATATATATTCATGCCAGACTACATGAGTGAGTGAGTGTTTTAGAAAGCTGGGAGTCAGTTCAAGGTTTATCAAGCTGTTTTAGATCGTGAAGGGAGGAAAGGATGGAGGCACCTACCATGAAATCTTTTTTTTTTCTATTCTGCTGTTACGAATCAACATGAGTGCACTCTGTACACTGTGGTTTGAAATGCTGCCATTTCTTATGGCTGAATAAACTCTAGCATGTGGCAAATATCTGTTGCTCTTTCCTGGATTTATTAATTTCATGTGATAACTGAAGTGTAGTATCTGATCTGATCTATATGAAAATTAATGTTTGAACTTCTAATAAGTGGATTAGCTGCAGGTCAGGTTCTCATCAGAACCAGAGAAGTTCTAAGTTGAAAAGTTCATGTTGTCTGTTGTCACTGCGTTATGTCTTGTTCAGTATGTTGCATATTTTTGGCTTCCATTCATCTTTTAACTATAGACTTTAAAATGCCATCAAGTTAAAACCCTAATTTGAACAGTGCAGTTACTCCATTTGCAAAATCATGCAAGCACACAAGGTCACTAAAGGCCCTGTGTGTGTCAACATGTTTCATTAAAAACCTAAAAGCAAAAAGAGCTTCTGAAACAACTTTTCTTATTTCGCTGACATGATCTGAAGTGTGACACTGTCGGGTGGAGAGCATCAAAATGCGGAAAGAAACCTAAAGTGAGAAAGAGAAGTAGCACAGGAAGTAACTGAGGTCTTGGTTAAGCTAAAACGGTGAAGCTCACTCAGACGCTTCAACTCTTCAACCAGCTGGCACAGTGGAGCAGACATTTTCTGCTCAGTCTTTCTTTTTAGAGTTTGTTTTGGATCAACTGCCAGGCTGGAGGGAGGGCTCGGGTCAAGTCTGCTGAGGAAGCTTTCTTCTTCCAGGTAGGTCACCCACAAATGTCCCTTTTTTGTACTTTTACAAAAGTGCAGGTGAGGCAGCTGCACAGCACACAGCAAAGTGCCACCAAGTCGTGTGCATATTTCAGCTGTACAAGGATGCTACAGAAGTGTAGCGTTTCACTTATTTATAACCAGTTACCTAGATATTATTGGTATTAAAGTCTTCTCATTATTATTAAGAGTTGAGGTAAAGTGCAGGTGTGCGCACAATCGTTGACAATGAGCTTTATGTACGAGGCCAATAAAGGTCGAACGCAACAATATCAACCTTTCAAAAAGCAAAACCAAAGCGTTTGTCACACAGCTGATCTTATCTGCTTATCTGCTAACAAGCATGCTAATCATATTTTCAGATTGCTGAACAGTAGCTGTGAAGTTGGGTTTTGTGCATAACAAGATCAAATATTACAGAATTTTTCACAGACTGTACGTCAGTTTCAGCATGCACATTTGAGGTTTTCTTCACGAGGAAATGCGAGAGCTGTGATGGGAATGATGACGAGAACATTTGAAGTGAAGTTCAGTGAAGGTTGTGTTGTCTGCCATCATGTGAGGCCACATCAAATATGCTGTGAAAAAACAAGAATGCTGCAATAGGAAACTTTGAAGCAAATCTGACTAAATTATCATGCGAGACCAACAAAACAGCCTAACAGAGAAGTGTTATTTCTGTGTCGAATCCATACTCACACAAGTACAAATCTTTGCCTAACTTAGAAAAGCATTGCATGCGGACCTAAGCTAGAAAGAATTTACTGTAGTAAAGTAGACACCGCAAAAAGGTGCTTTGTGGTCCACAGATACATTTATGCAACACCAATACATTGTTACTTTTTTTTATTTCTTCATGTAGGAAGTCTCATCAGCGAAACAACAGTCCTCAACCCCAAGAGGCCAATGACATGGGGTAAGGAAGGTTTTCATCATTACATTAGATCTCATCATTTCTCATCTGGTTAATCAATATTCAACACTTTTGTGAAACATACAATAGAAATGAGTTGAGGATATTTTTTTAGGTGAAGGTTTTAGAAGAAGGAGCAGAAGAAAATTCTTTAGAGACGTTTTTACCAGCCACAACAACGAGGCTGACGTTTTCACTCAGTGTGTGTGTGTCTGTGTGTGTGTCTGTGTGTGTGTCTGTGTGTGTGTCTTATGGGAAAATGTGGTTGTGGAGACACCTGCTGCAGCAGGAACACCCACCCGAAAAAGCAGTTTTGAGCTCATCTGCAGGTGTTTTCATGTTTATATCTGTATGAAGACAGATTTTGTCAACAGCTGAGAGCGTTGCAATCACAAAGCTGCAGAGTGGAGGTTGAGTTTAAAAGATGAGTGTGCTCTGAGAAGTCTCTCGTTGTGCACTTTCACTGAAAGATTACTCATAACTTGTAACATATTGCATCTCATCACACGTGTAATTAGTAACCAAGTTAGGATCTGCTTGTCTATAGTTGCACTACACACGGGAACATGTTTTTGAGCGGTGCTCTGTAGATTGTTGATGTGTCGTAGATTTGGATTTTATTCTATATGTGAGGCCACGTCTTCCTATTGTCGATGGAACAAACATGTAGATGCCTTTTCACCTGAGTGTAAGACCCACAGCAGGAAACCGTTTTAAGAGGAGACATAGTGCACTTTTTAAAAAAAAGTCCACTGCTTCCTCTTTTTCAGGCCACAGGACACGCACTACAAAACAGATAAGGGACTTTTGCAAATTAGGCCTTCTCCCAAGAAAAAAGCATCATTAATCAAATGTTTCAGATCTGAGATGCTTTGAGCGGTAGAGAGGGTCCGCTGAAGAAAGCAGCATTTTTACACGCTTCTAAGAGGAAGTGCTGAGAGCCAAAACACAATGAATATTCCTACCAATTAAAAACAGTGTAGCTGAAACCTAAAGTAAACTCACCAGATGTTTAATTTGTGACCTTGTTTGCACTAGTGCACATAATAAATTTATAAAACCATATCCATAATTCTGCAACATTGTTTGTCACTTCGTAAACATCACTTTGTAAAATGACAGCTAATGACAGACCTGTTCTTTTACTGTGAATCCTTCCTGTGCAGGGCGAATGGAGACGACAGCGGGGCAGGTAGGCTGAGCCGCAGACTGTCTCGTCTAGGCAGCAGGAATCAATCCAGGGATCAGAGACACCCGGCTCAGCCAGAAAGACCTCCTCCTCCTCCTGTTCAACAAGGTGAGTGTCCATGGTGACACAGAACTATCAATGTCAACATTTTGTTGTCCGCGGCTGCTGAGTGAGCCCTCATCTGGGACTCTCCTCAGCTCTTTCTGGGACAGTGGCGCGGCTGCCCCTCTGTTGGTCTTCCTTGGTCTCTTGTGTTCTGGGGGCCTCTGGATGTCTGGAGTTTTGATCTCCTCCATACCTGCTTCATGCCCTGGAGGACGGGGCTGTGGCCCCCCCACACCCTCTAGCAGATCATTACATGAAGGAACCTTTTAAAAAAACAAGCGCGTCCATGCTCACAGGTGTACACACGGGTGATCACACCCACAAACTACACCCTTTTTGGCTCCTACCTCAAAGCACACTGTGTTCTGTTGATCTTATGTGCTGCACAATAATGTTTAATATTTAGTATTTACTGTCATATTCCCATATATCATTGTGATGTTGTTTATTCTATTACTCTTGTTCTCTTCTGCTTGTTTTCTTTTTTCTTTCTCAGCAGGTGATCCAGGTGATTGATATATGCATTTTTTTTCTTTTTTTTTTCTCTGCTCATTCTGTTGGTTTTTGTCTTTTGCCCTTCTCCCCCGTCCCTCTTCTCAGCTGTTTCTCTTTCCCTCTTTCTTTCTCCCCTTCTTTCCCCCAGTCAAGTCTGTCCCGTATTCAGTAAGTGAAAATAAAATAAACAATAAAAGGTGAATCAAATGGACCATTACGGCAAGGCTGGGATGGTCAATTTGGTAAAGTAAATCCGTTGGGCATCTTTCTTTGCCTTTAGACAACAATTCTGATGGCAAAAGAGCCAAACGGGACAGGCAAAAAAAAAAAAAAAAAAAGTCAACATTTTGTGTTTAATAATGTTAAATCTTACCTTTTACAGTGGGCTTTTTCTGCTTAATATGTGCTTACTTTGGCTTTTCTGATTAGATTTTGATGCTAAATCTTTCATGTTTCCACTGCAGCAGAAATCCATTATTTGTTCTTAGCTGTAGCTCAGTGTACCTGCAGCATCAGCAGGAGTATTGGCTTCTCTCACCTCTCAAATTCAGTGAAATTTGTGTTTCCCCTCCATAGATGACAGGCCAGCTCCACCAGCACTTGTTGTGCCTCCAGCTCCAGCTCCAGCACCAGTTTTTGTTCTCCCACCACCCATGGAAATACCACCTAAACGCCCTGACAAATCAACAAAGCCCAAGCTTCCTCCCCGGCCCCTGTCCAAGGTGTTCAGTAGCACTGAACATGGAGAGGATGTGCTAAAGGTCTTTATTACTGTCTGAACAGCTGTTTGTTATTAAATTATTTTGAGGGTTCATTTTAACAACTAACCCATCGAATTATTTTCCCCAAAGGGCTTTGATAGTTTTCGGGGAGACGAGACGCTCTGTGATGTTGTCTTAGTTCCTGGAGATAGCAAGGAAAAGTTTCCCGTCCACAGAGTCATCATGGCTTCATCCAGCGACTACTTTAAAGCGATGTTCACAGGTTTGTTGTCCTTTCTATCGTTGAGGCACTGCATTGAGAAAGAAAGGTAACAGTGACATTGTAGTCATCATACAAGTGCAGTTTTGTAGGAAGGAAGTACGTATGTTTATAACACAGTGCAGCAGACAGAAAAGGTTTTCTGTTTGCTTAACTCAGACTTACTCTTTAGATAGATAAACATTAGCAAGCATCTTAAAACCCCCAAAAGGAAGTCTGTTTAGAGGTTCTGGCTCCTGTTTGCTCACAGCTTCCTTTGAGGTGAGATTTTCACAAAAGATATTTACATCTGAATACATAATTAACTATTTCAATTCAGTTCAATTCAATTTTATTTATATAGCGCCAAATCACAACAAAAGTCGCCTCAAGGCGCTTCATAGATACAGAGAAAAACCCAACAATCATATGACCCCCTATGAGCAGCACTTTGGCGACAGTGGGAAGGAAAAACTCCCTTTTAACAGGAAGAAACCTCCGGCAGAACCAGGCTCAGGGAGGGGCGGGGCCATCTGCTGTGATTGGTTGGGGTGAGAGAAGGAAGACAGGATAAAAGACATGCTGTGGAAGAGAGACAGAGGTTAATAACAGATATGATTCAATGCAGAGAGGTCTGTTAATACATAGTGAGTGAGAAAAGTGACTAGAAAGGAAAAACTCAATGCATCATGGGAATCCCCCGGCAGCCTATGTCTATTGCAGCATAACTAAGGGAGGATTCAGGGTCACCTGGTCCAGCCCTAACTATATGCTTTAGCAAAAAGGAAAGTTTTAAGCCTAATCTTGAAAGTAGAGATAGTGTCTGTCTCCCGAATCCAAACTGGAAGCTGGTTCCACAGAAGAGGGGCCTGAAAACTGAAGGCTCTCCCTCCCATTCTACTTTTAAATACTCTAGGAACAACAAGTAGGCCTGCAGAGCGAGAGCGAAGTGCTCTAATAGGGTGATATAATGATACAAGGTCATTAAGATAAGATGGGGCCTGATTATTTAAGACCTTGTATGTGAGGAGCAGGATTTTGAATTCAATTCTCGATTTAACAGGAAGCCAATGAAGGGAAGCCAAAACAGGAGAAATATGCTCTCTCTTTCTAGTCCCTGTCCTTCCTATTTGCATAAACTTCATGTTGTGCGTTGTTACATCTTTGCATCTTGCTGACTGTGCATCTTGCCTACACAAGGCAAATCTTCTAAAGCAATGCAAATACATGCTTTCTGTCTCTTTTTGATCCTTGCTTATTCTTGTTCAGGAGGCATGAGGGAGCAGGAGATGAGAGAGATCAAGCTGCATGGGGTCACCAAGTTGGGCTTAAAGAACATTATAGACTTCATTTACACATCCAAAGTGAGCCTCGACATGGGCAATCTTCAGGACACACTGGAGGCCGCAAACTTCTTGCAGGTCATGCCAGTCCTGCGGTTTTGCAATCAGCTTCTGAGCAGTGAGGTGAGCACTTCTTCTTTCAGTTTAAGGTCACATTCGTTCAGGATTCTGCTAATTATATTCAAGTACACTGGAGGCCTAGCTAATGAGCTGCCAAATCCCTCTGATTGCTTCTTTGTCCTTCACATGCACTCAGGATCAGAACATAATATGACATTGGAAGGGAGCCATGGCAATGAATGACAATGCAGTATAGAGCAAAGACTATTAACTCTATCTGTTTGATGACTCTATTTTCTGTGTTGTTCATTGCAGATCACTATTGATAACTGTGTGGAAGTTGAGCGCATAGCCACAGACTTGCTTCTAGAGGACGTTCAGCAGAATATCGGTAAGTGATATGATCTTTGATTATCAGTGGTTATTATTTAATGGTTATTAAGTGTTTCCAGTCATCAGCACTACCTGAAATAAGCATATCTATCCTTATATCATCCTTATTGTATGTGGCCCCTCATTGTTAAATAGAAAACTATATCTAAAACTCTAATAAACTTGGTAATTTTCATTGATTGTTGATTATCTGTATCACAACAGGTGAGTTTGTGAGTCAGAACCTCTCAGAGTTAGTGGAGTGTGGCCGCTACCTTGAGCTCTCGGAGACCAGCATGGCCAACGCTCTTGCCAGCAATTCGCTGAAAGGTTTCTCGGAACTGGAGCTCTATCATATTGCAAGAGGATGGCTGGACCACGAGTCTGCCAAACGCCGAACTTCTGTTTATGCCTTGATGCGGCATATTCGCTTCCCACTGATGAGCCCCAGTGAGCTGATTCAGATCTCTCAGGATGATGAAGAAGAAAGCGACTCTCTGATGCGCTCTGAGACAGCCTGTGTGAACCTCTTGCTGGAGGCCAGTAACTACCAGATGATGCCTTACATGCAGCCAGCCCTGCAAACAGAGAGGACACAGATAAGATCAGACGCAACTCATATTCTGGTCCTGGGTGGTGTAATGCGACAACAGCTGGTGGTGAGCCGGGAGTTAAGGCTGTACGACGAGAAAACCGGCCATTGGAGGGCCCTGAAGCCCATGGAGGTGCCACGCTATCAGCATGGTGTGGCTCTTCTAGGCGGCTTTCTCTTCATTGTTGGAGGTCAGAGCAGAGTACACACATAAACATACAAACAGCCAATTTAAGCCATGTGTTCATCTAATATGAGTATTTAATTTTGTATAAGCCAGCGTTTTTAGTTCAAGCATCATCAAAACTAAGCATGAATAAATGATCTACACTGATATGAACAGGTTGTAATTGGCCTTTTGTTGCAATCACCAAGGTAACACTGAATCTTTTCGACTTCTCAGGTCAGAGTACTTACGACACAAAGGGCAAGACAGCCATAGACAGCGCCTACCGCTACGATCCACGATTTGACAAGTGGTTACAGATTGCGTCACTCAATGACAAGAGGACTTTCTTCCATCTCAGTGCCCTGAATGGGAAGCTGTTTGCAGTGGGAGGAAGGAACGCCTCAGGAGAAATTGGTGAGCTGTAATAAATTTCTTTTTCAGTGTAAGCTAATAACCGCTTCCTTTTTACCATTCAGTTCTTTTTCTACTAAAAAGTAACGTTTGAATTGTTCAAAAGATGTTTATGGACACTGCTGCTATCACTGATCTGTTATAGCTCTCCCTATTAGGATTATTTACTGCCATTTAAAAAGGTATTTGCTGAATTAATTGCATAAACATTCCTCTGTGATTTTGCTCAGACACGGTGGAGTGCTACAATCTGAAGAAAAATGAGTGGACCTTTGTGAACAGTATGGTGGAGCCCCACTATGGACATGCTGGAACAGTCCATGAAGGCCTCATGTACATTTCAGGTAAGACAGCAATAATTAACCCTGTTAAAACAAATCCTGCAGTATAAGATTATAAAGTAATTCCTAGCATTTACAGATTTTTCCACCTTTTTTTTTTAAACATGAGAAATAGGCTGTATTTACACCTTTAATATGACACGATAAGTCCACAATTAGTGATAAGTCCTGCATTAAAATCTAAAGTAAATACAGTTAAAGTTATACATAAATAGTTTAGAAACACAACCAATTCACTAAAAATGAACTTATTTAATTGATTTATAATTTTGTAAAATTATGAAAGCCCAAGTGGTCACGCTGGAGGATTTCTACTGTAGCAGAAGCAAAGCTTATGAAATCTGTCTTGAATCTAATTTAAAATCTTAAAGGAGCTTCAAATACAGGTGTGTTCACTTCACCTGTTGAGAAAAACACAATCCCCAATCTGACTTTTAGTCAAAACTTGGTACTAACAGCACTCTCCTGCCAATTAAAGCTTATGTCTTACAGCAAGATTCGATAGTACTTATAGCGTAAAGGTAAGCTTTGTGTATTTTAACAGGAAAATGCCAAAACTATTTACATATATTTAATATTTCACCATCTTTTCAGAATCCCAGCTAGTGAAAAGGTTTGCAAAACTTAATTTATTATTTAACTGTATTCACCTATTATTATTATTTGATTCAAATTATCTTTATATCTACAAATTGGGTGAGTGAAAGCATTTTTTCTCATCCTGTTACATTTTCAGCTCTTGTGAATGTTTAATTTTCTCAATTTGCACGACTTCAACATCTGACTGACTTTTTACATCATAAATGTTATTGTTTAGTTCACTTCTGTCGTTAAAATGTAGATATATGGGAGCATGCTAGCAAACTAAATAGTAAAATGTAACCATTCAAAGCAGATTTCAAAAGGTTAAACACTGTGCTGCACAGAAGAGTGTTAAATACCACTGAATGGAGTCTATTTGTCATTATGTTTGCAATGCAAATGACAAATGACCACATAACCATTTCGAGAACTGTTGTTTCAGTTTCATTTCAATTGTAGATTTTCTATAAGAGAGAGCGATCAGTGCCATGGTCAGAGTTAGAGGAAGATTCCTGTTGTCGTTAAAGAAAAAATGAGGAACTGACACTTAGGCAAGAGGTTGCAAATGAAACAGTTAGCAAGAAAGGTTTATAGAGTGACTGTCTACAGTTGTATAACAATGATACTTGACTTCTCCCTTTTTTACTGAGAGTTATCAATAACAGGTCAAATTTGTGTTTGAACCATGCGCTTTGAATTGGTTCGTTTTAATATATTTTTTATTTTTTGCTCGTCGAGATGTTTTGTCAAAGTTTTAAAAGGGCTGTCTGGAGAGAACAAGAAAACCCACCCTGACAAAATGCATTAGATAATGCTTCACGGCTGACCTATTTGAAACCACTTCCTGTTGAGATGCACAGTCTCATGAGCAGCTCTCACACAGTTCTCAGGCCTGTTTCTTAGCAACCTTGGACAGGAAAACAGCTTTTAGAGTTGAGAGCAGAAAGACGGGTTTCACTCGTGAATCAGGAAACCTGTAGTTGAAGGGGACCACATCGCTTTGCAACAAAGTTCAAACCCACAGTCTGAAGTTACAACATATATCTGCATTATAGCAGTTTGAAGACAACAGCGCATACTTTACTTGGACATCCACACATCCATTCTCTTTCTACCTGAGGTTCTTTGAGTTAGACAGTATGCATGTCATCAAGAAGCCCACAGTGGTAATGCATGTAATTTGGTGTACGATTACAAACCACTGCTTCAACAAAAGGTTACCGAAGTATTAAACTTGTAAACGCTAAACAAAGCATTCACCATTTCTTATAGTAAAACACAGACTTTCACTGTTCACTGTAGTTCAGTTGTTCGCTTGTTGTAATTAAAATAACCTGATTTCTCAATTATTGAATTAGTCGTTAGGTGTACAAGGATCTAGGGTTATTTTTCCTTTTCAAGAGGGCAAGTGTTAATTTTCTGACTAATGGATCATTTGAAATCTAAAATAAACAAGACAAACCTTCACCTAATGACAAAACAGCCACTGCTCTGGATGACAAACACCTTGGCATTTATAAATAATAAGCAAAAGATCAAAGAAAGAAAACTGGCATCGCATTCATGGTGTGAAAGGAAGGATGTTACTCACATCTGTTTTTAATGTTCGGCCACAGGAAGCAGTGTGTCCATTATCTCATACTCTCCTGCAGACGTTCACGTACATATCGATCTTATAAACAACATCTGCTGTTTCACTAACTCTGTATTCTTTTTGATTAAACACATTTTAGTTTATTTATTAGAGATAGAAAGTAACAAGGTCACCTTACCTCAGTACTTCAATAAAGCAAAAAAAATTCTTGCAGTTTACTCTAGTATTTATATTATTCTTTAACCATACTAAATTTCACAGTGCAATATTATACGACATATTATAGCTTACAACATTTATTTGAAAATTAAGACAAACATGGATTTTTAATATTTACTTTTCATACATATAACAAAATAAATAAATAAATAGCATGCTCTGGGCAACTTGCACTAACTAGACCATGACCTCCTCTGTATATCAGAGTATTCTAGAGTCAAATGTGAGGCAGTCTATTCGCAGCTAAAGCTTGCACCACGTTGGGTCATTTAACAAGAAAATGATCCCAAGCACCCTGCAAATCTACAGCAGAATGGCTAAAAAGGAGAAGAATCAAGGTTTTTGCACTGGCTCTGTCAAAGTCCAGACTATGTTAACAAATACAGACAAACCTCAATGAACTGAAGCAAATGTTGTCTCTAAATGTTATCAGAGACTGATAGGCTTACAGAAAACAATTAGGCTAAACTAAAGATGGTTCTAAATGCTGTTAAATCATGAGGTTTAGGTACTTTTTCACAGGATTTCATAGAGTTCTGCAGAAAAGATTTTTTAGCATGACTGTACCAACTTGTATTAGTACAAATAATATCTAGAGTCACATCATATCAGTCAAAAAGAACATTTTACTGGACAATGAATAAGTAGGATTTTTATTGGAGTATTTTGAAGCAGTGGTATTTATGCTTTTACTTGAATTAAATATCTGTATACCAATCCTGTTCTTGTGCCAAACAGGCGGCATCACCCGTGACACCTTCCAGAAGGAGCTTTGGTGTTACGACCCGGTCGCTGACACGTGGAGTCGACGGGCAGACATGACGGAGCTCCGTGGCCTGCACTGCATGTGCACTGTGGAAGACAGACTCTATGTCATGGGCGGAAATCATTTCCGAGGCTGCAGCGACTATGACGACGTGCTGGGCTGCGAATACTACAGCCCTGACACAGACCAGTGGACGGTGGTGTCACCAATGCCTCGGGGCCAGAGCGACGTAGGTGTGACTGTGTTCAATGGACAGATCTATGTGGTGGGAGGATATTCCTGGAACAGCAGATGCATGGTCGACATCGTGCAGCGATATGATCCAGACAAGGACGTGTGGGACAGGGTGTTCAACGTGCTGGAGCCTCTGGGGGGGATCCGTGCCTGCACAATGACAGTTCATCTGCCAGAGGGGTCAGTAGATGAGGCTCAGATACAAGATTGCCCACTTCCCACAGCTAAGAGCTCATAGCCACAGACGAGGGGGTTTCCGGCTGTTGCTGCTGTGAGACCACAACTGACATGATGAAATTTACCTGCACGCTGTGGCGAAAAGAAGGCAAAACAGGAAGTAGTGTGGGTTGCAAACACAAGTTGCATGTGCAAGCAAAGCAGGCTAGCTTACATTAGCATTCGATAGTTTGAAGACTTTACTCGTACTTACAAACACTGTGCTCTTGTTAGTATCGTTTCCTGTCCTTTCATTTACTGCCAGCTATGTGGCACCCCAGCTAATCTGTTGATTATGTAATGAATATGCATAATGTACATAATGCCTAAACGAAAGCTCAAACCCACCTTCCTGATCAGTTTGACTGGACATTGATTCACTGGACACTGAAGGCAGCAAGTCAGAATTAGAGGCAAAATCATCTTTTCATATAAATTACACTGAAAAGTTGAATTAAGAGAGAAAATCGACATTATTTCAAATGCTATTTTTGTATAGTTTGTAATTCTGTAGGCTTTTTTGATCTATTTATTTTATTCCATCTCTAAACCGAAAGGAATTAGCTGAATCATTTGTGTCATGATGACGCATGGATTAGGTGATTAAAACACCACAGGGTTTTGGGCAAACATTGTAAAATAAAGAAGTTTTTATGGCACAGAGTCATAAGATTTCAGCTAGACTGTAGCTTCAAAGACAACATTTCGGGTGTGGAACTTCCTATTAATCAAGCCTGTATCCACAGACAGTCATGCTTTCACGAGGTTTGTTTCTGCTTTTAAACACAATGTAATGAGCAAAGATGTCTGTTAATGCTTTCCATTAAATTTCATGCTGCAACACAGAATCGCATTATTCGCTGTACGCAAAGTCCTCTCAGCCATTAACACATCAGACTGTTGTTCCATAGATACAAAGAAGCTCACACACATTCACTCTTTGTTGTTTGATGTCAGCAAATGACGATGAAACTGCCCTTGAGACTTTATCCTTCACCTCCTCAGCACACAGCTATCTTATCGGCTGCTTTGCCAAGGTCTTCCAAATAGAAACACTAACATGCAGTGCAGGAGTGTGCGTGGATGAACTGTTGCGGTTTCTTTTTGTGTGTCTGTGTGTTTAAAAAGTCAGCCAAAGTTGCTCTAAGCGAGTGCTAGCGCTGCACTTCACTGTTAGCACTCGTTTTCAGTATACTGACCTAATTTTATTAAACTGTTGAAAACTTAGTGTAAAAAACAAAGCTTCTACATCGGAATACACAATTAGCCTATGTGTAATAGGATATGATGCCGGAAACAGTGTCATTGTCAGCTATAGGTCAGTTCTAAGAAAGGTATCAGCTCTATATATGATGATGGTGCAACCATTAAAACCCTGTAACACCCAGGAGTTTCCAGCCCAGTGACCAGTGTACCCACTGCTGAATAAACAATGGCCGACTTTATAATAATAATTCATGTATATGTAAAAACAAAGTTGCCCATCTGGCAGACAGATGTTACCTTGAAATGTCGACTGTTTTTTTCTTTGGCTCATGTAGCCTTGCACCTTTCTAGACAGACTTTGATACTTAATCATTGTTAGTAGAGTGCACATCTCATCTACTCGTGTTTCCCCTTAAAGAATCCCTATAAAACCCCTCCTTTGAAAATCTCAATAAAGCAGAAAAACAAGTCTGAAATAGACTTGTTTATATCAGTATGCCTGGACGGTAACATTAAAAAGGTTTTTTTCTAATATTCAACCATAGTAATCTAACTGAGTTTTACATAGTAGTTGAAGAAGTACTCCATAGTCTTCAGGCATAAATAGTTAGAGAAAAGGGTTAACTAGCAGCCAATCAAGCAGTAAAGCCAATGTGGAAGTGCCTAAAACTGCATTTCTTAAAATGGCCACTAGAAGTTAGCTAAAAGTGACCTAATCCAAATTGACAACCTCCAGAATTAAACTGTGCCGAACATAGACAGTATAAAAGATAGATGTAGCTTCCAAGTCTGAAAAGTGAAGCAAGCATAGAAGTTGTAATGAAGTCCAGGAAAATCGACCTCGGTTTGCTCTCTCTGTGATCTCAGCAAACACTTGTCTGATGACTTTCTAGCTTAAGGTCATACTGAGCAGAAAATCATAGTCATTCTTATGGTCAGAAAGCATGGTTAGTCATGGTTCTCATTAACTAACTTCTCAGTTACAGGTTGTTTCCTAGTAAGTGTGTGGTTTCCCAGTCAGATCTTTCTTGCACAGCTGTCTTAAGGTCCAGTCACAGTATTTCAGCTTGAAATGTGACTTTCATTGGACCATTACAGCACCTTGGTTTAGTTATTTTTCAGTAATTCTATTAGGGGTTATTTGCTGTTGTGCTGGGGATTGCATGACCTAATTTCAGTCAAGCTTTACACAGATGGCCCCGCATTTGACTCTAGAATACAGTGGTACACAGCCCTGTGGTTGCAAAACAAGCACAATCATCACGCCACCACCACCGTGCTTGACAGTTGGTATGAGGTGTTTGTGCTTGTCAGGGACCAAGCAGTAAGGCATAGAGGACACAAGTGTTTAATAAAAAAAGGGGGTTTTATTGACGCAAAAATATGAAAGATAATTAACAGAACCAAAAACTTGGCCAATAAAAAGGTCAACTCAATAAACTAAACTCAAAATAGCAACTAGCACAAGACAATAAAACTCCAAACACCTCCCCAGGCAATGAAGCGTGTGGTTTAGTCCAATAAGGCTGTCAGCAGTACTTCAGACCTCCAGCCCTTTGCCACACCTTTTGCCAACCAGGAAGGAGAATCCAAACCCCCAGTTAAACTCAAACAAAGAAAGATATGTTAATATAACATAAAACAGAAATTTAAACATTGTCATCACAGTGCTATTAAAGACTGAACAATACCAGTTCAGTGTTTTTCTGTAATTGCACTGCCATGAATTTAATATTTACCATGCTATCGGATGCCTTTGTGTGTATGTTCCTCCGTAGTACAGTGTAATGTGTAATTAAAAGGTGTATGAGTATTGTAGGCGCGCCCTTAAATACAATAAAAGACACACAAAATGCATTACCAAAGAGCTGAAAAGCCACAGTGGAATATAACAAAGTCAAAGATATTGAAGTGCTATGCGGCAGGTAAATCGGTTATTTGACAGAGGAAGTCTCACTTCATGATCTTTTATTTAACTAGTACATTTCAGTGGGAAAAACCTGCTCATGTTTTATATATGTAGGTTTATTGTTACATATTAGACTACTCAGCAGTAGTTCTTCTGTACTTTAATGGGATTTTAAACACTTTACTTGTAATAGATTTTTTATTCTGATTCAGTGTTTGTTGAGTGCTTCTTAGGCCGGGGTACGTGCCTCTCCGTGTAGAATTGTTCATTTTGTGAAAGCAGAAAGCAGCAAAGAACCCTCAGCTCCTGCTTTGTCACATGCTGAGTCTCCCTGCCTCTTCTAATGAAATACTCCTTCTAATTAAGCAAAAGATTACATTTTCCAAAAGCAAATGTCCTTGGCATACGGTGTAAGCCCTTCCAGCTGCTTTTTTGTCCAGCCCTAGAAAGCATCACATTCCATGCTGGAGTAGCTGAGCCCATCCCCTTTTTCAATACTGCCTTGGAGAAAAGAAGTTTTTTTTAGTAACTTTCTGGGCTTACAAAAAGGGCTGAGGTGGAGAGAACAGAAGGTGTTGTCCGTCCCTCACAGACAGATCACGAAACATCCAACACCAATTCTGTATTCTGGTTTTTCTTCATTTTTAGCCGCTGTTTTTGAGAAGGCTCTGCATCAGAGAGAAAACAACTGCTTTTTGACTATTAACGGGCCTTTATTTTATACAAAGAGACCTGCAATGTCTCTGCGAGGTGATGTGTGCGTGGTGACGGGGGCCTGTGGATTCTTGGGAAAGAGGCTGGTGAGGCTGCTGCTGGAAGAAGAGAAAATGGCTGAGATTCGACTTCTGGACAAACAGATACAGCTGCAGTATTTGCAGAGTTTGGAGGGTAAACCGTTCTTTTCTACAAAACATCCCCTTTTCCAGATTCAAATTCATGAATTGATATGAAATGGGCAGGAGTAGATTTGTCTTATAGATATTCCTTTACTGACATAATCGAAGAATATACCAATATAAAGATTTGAGAATTCAGCTTTTCTGACTTCCTCAATTAAAAGCTGTAATGTAAATGTGTTTTTAATGTCTCCAATACAGTAGATTGAAAACCAAATATTTGCTTTAGATTAAACTAAATAACTTGCGTCTTGCTGCTTTGTCTCGGTGACTGGTTTGTTTTGTGTCAGACTGCAAAGGTGAGACAAAGCTGCGAGCTTTCGAAGGGGACATGAGGGACGGTGATTTCCTGATCAAATGCTGCCGTGGGGCATCGATCGTTTTCCACATCGCATCCATCATTGACATCAAAGACTCAGTGGAGTACAGTGAGATTTTCGGAGTGAATGTCAAAGGTAAAGCTGTCACAAATCCACCGAAGGCTTACCTAATTCATGTGACTTCAGATACATTTATCAAATCACACACATAAAACAAAGAAGCAGAATTATTTACAGTTGAAAGTTTTTGTTTTTTGTACCACTGACATTTAAAACTGCTTTCATTACTTGTGTTAACTGGCCTTTGATCTGCTTTCACTATTACAGCCCGGTGCTTACTTCTACTTCCTCCAGTTCACACTTACTTTACACTCCTTAAAGCACTTGCATGTCATATGAATATTCCTGCTGCTTTATTTTAGTTAAACCTACAACTGTCCAATGCATTTTAAAAACTGTTCACCAACAAATCAAATGACAGTTTTCCTTCCTAGTACTGTGCAACAGTGTTGAGCCGTTCCTCATTTCTTTACAGCATATGAGGCAAAAACAGCCTGTGCAATTCTAACAAGCTTGAAAGTCATTGTTTTGTATGACCACCTTTATTCTTCAACACAGCCCGAACTCTTTTATTCAAGCGTCCTTGTTTTTTTTAAGTAGCCTTCAAGATAAGTGTTCCCGGCCTCTTGAAGGACATTCAAAGCTCTTTCATACCATCTCAATAATGTTGAGGTCCAACTCTGGGAATGCCACAACTGATAATATCAAATTGTGTGTTTGTCTATATAGGTATACTTTTACAGCATCAGCAGTGTGTTTCAGATCATTGTCGTTTTTGGTCGTTTATTTCTAGTAATAATTTGGCAAAGCTAACCTTCTCTCCCTGTTGCCTTGCCTTAAAAAAATATATATGTATATACACATATATGTACATATATATGTATACAAACTTGTGTACCCAGTTCTTGTTTGTTTAAGTCTTTAAAGATTTTGCTGTACAATCATTCCTCTGTGGAAAAAAGAAGAGTTTGAATAAATAACTAAAACCTCAAAATTACCATAATATTCACGTCCATGATGAGTGGATGTAAACTCCTAACCATAACTGTAGGTGCCTTTTTTATAATTGAGTGATTCACAGGGTGTGAATAGTTGCAAACATGTTTTTATCTGTGCGTTAGCCTTGCGACAGACCCGTTTGGGGTGTACCATACCCACCCACCTGATTTGAATAAGTGGAAGAAGATCACTAGGGGGAACACATTTTCCACTGAATATTTTATTCATCAAGATCCAGTGTGTGATTCAAGTGTTCTCTTATTTTTTAACATTTTGGTTTTTACCATGTTCAGCACCACAGCACAAGCGCCAGGTTTCATTATATATAATGTATCTTAAAGCAGATACATAGCAAAACTGGCAACCTGACACGAGAATAACCTGAACAGACAAACAGCAGTTAAATAATGAAGGGAAAATGCATAATCAGAGATGACATAATATAATTGCAGATATTTGAAAAGTCACTTTATTTACACTTTAAACTTGTGTTTCTACCAGCTACTGCAATTTCTTTTGATGTTTCCATTTGAACTTTATTCAGTTTGTCACTCAGCACATGTACTGAAGACCAGCTTCCTGTTACACAAAGGCTTTTTAAAACTTATAAATATTTCTATTATGATTTGGCAGCAACTTTTCTAGTATAAAGGAATACATGGATGCATTAATTAATTTCCCAAATTAGAATTAATCTCTTTGTTTTGTTTTGTTTTTATTCTCTTGTTGCTCTGATAACATAAAAGTTTTGTGCTGCTCTGGGATATGCAGTGTTTATTGTTAGTTATATTAACTCAGCAGAATCTTTGCCTCGTAGGAACCCAGCTGCTTTTGGAGGCATGTATTCGGGAGAACGTGCCGTCCTTCATATACACCAGCACCATTGAAGTGATGGGGCCAAACTCCAAGGGAGAACCCATAATCAATGGCAGTGAGGACACCGTCTATGACATCAGTTTGGACATCAACTACAGCAAGACCAAGAGTGAGGCTGAGGAGAAAACCCTGAAGGCCAACGGTGAGATGCTCCAGAACGGAGGCCAGCTAGCCACCTGTGCACTCAGACCCGCATATATCTATGGAGAGGGCTGCCGCTTCCTCCTAGGCCACATGGTCGATGGGATAAAAAACCGAAATGTTCTGCTTCGTATGTCGCTCCCCGAGGCCCTTGTGAAGCCTGTCTATGTGGGCAACGTGGCCGCCGCTCATCTCCAAGCATCCCGCAGCCTCAAAGATCCGCAGAAAAGAAATGCTGTTGGAGGGAAGTTTTACTTCGTTTCTGATGACACACCACCTGTGAGTTATTCAGACTTCAACCACGCCGTGATGTCTCCTCTGGGTTTCAGTATTCAAGAGAAACCCATGTTGCCACTCACCCTCTTCTACTTACTAACTTTCCTTATGGAGACAGTAGCCTGGATCCTACGGCCTTTCATACGCATCGTCCCGCCACTGAACCGTCAGCTCCTCATCATGTTGAACACGCCATTCAGTTTTTCCTATGAGAAAGCCAAGAGGGATCTAGGATATGTCCCCAAATATAGCTGGGAGGAAGCACGCAAACGCACCACTGAATGGCTCGCCTCCCAGTTGCCAGCAGAGAGAGAAAGAATCTTGTCTAAATAGATGAAAAATGACCAAAAGTCATTAGCACCCAAAATTAATACTTTTTTTTTGTGAAACTGTTAAACATATAGATATAATTTGAAATTAACCATGGAATTGTGAAGTCCTGTTTTTAAGGCTTAACTTTCTAAGATAAGATAATAAACGTCATTAACCCACATGGGAAGTTTGATAAAGAGTGCTACACATACCTGCATTCACAGAAAACAGGGTTAAGTGCTAACCTTTGAACTAAGTCTAGCAAGTATATTATGGAGAGTCTAGGGGGACTGACATACATGTAGAGCCAGCCTCAAGTGAGCATTAATGAAACTACAGCTTTAATCATTTCCACATTGGCTTCAAGCTTGAATACCTACAACATGCACACCAAACACCACTAGCTACAGTAACAATGTTTCTGTTGTGTTTTGTTTCCATTCTTGCCAATTGTGATTTTTTTACATGAATAACACAGATTTATAGTTTTCCTGTGACAGTAAGCAGAAGTGTATAGCATGTGAAAACAGAGCATGAGTGTTGACATTTCTTTCAAATGGCATGTTTGTGAAAGTTTTTCAAAGTACACTATGATAACTTTGTCATATGTTTTTGTTCAACTGATAACACAGCCACTAAAGTCATACTGTCTTAGAGCAGGAGCTGTGAATCTGTACTGCTAGCCACTTATCCCAAAATGACACAGAGGATATGTGCTCAATTAAAAAACTACTGCATGACCTGCTGTTTCTGTCTTACGAATACTAATAAAGTGTTTGTGAGAAAAAAAATTCCCATTCTCATTGTATTTTTACTGATGTTTTTTAGTAAAGCTCATCTCAAACTTCAGTGACATTGCAAACTTTGCCATTTGATAAAAAATAAACTCGCCATACTTAAGTGGAGAGTCCACATACGGCTTCAAATCACATTAACACAAAGAAAATGCAAAGGATTACATTTGTGCGTGCATGAATGCATGTGTGTATCAGTGTTATTAGTGTGACATACAGTCAGACTGTGGAAACCTGCCTCTCTTTAACAACAAAAAGCAACTCCTCACGGTGTAAGTCATGCAGTTTGTGATGAACACTTGGATTAAGTATAGGTTAGGTTTCCAGGAAATGAATGCTGTCATAGAGACTGAATAGTGTGTGATGGACTCACATGAATTGCTTGATTATGTAAAAAAAAGAATTAAGACTCAAAAGTCAGTTGATTACTGATTTCCAGATTTCTCCGGTCACTGTCAGATGCCTCTCTCTCAAACGCACACAAACGCACACACAAACTAGTGGGCAGCCAGGCCAGAGTCCAGCCTTTTAAACAAACAGCCATTGAATACAAATGAGGTCATGGATTCACCACCAGGCAAAGACTTTCAACCACTTTTTCAGAGCAAACCCAGACTGGGAAAGGAATAAAAAAGAAAACTCGCCCCCTAATTGAATTCGGTGAACAAAAAGAAAATGACACCGAGAGGGTTGTTGTGGATACGTTCAGTTTAAAAGTGGAATGTTACAGTGAACCCGGGTCTTTATATTCTGGACTAATTTAGCCTGTTTTATATGGATTCCAGCATTGCTTCACCCCTGATGTTTGCCAGATAAACTCTGAGTTTCTGTTTCAGTATTACAGCACTGCACAGAGCTGGGATTTAGTCAAGCCTAAAGCTGATCACCAATCTGGGAGCTAAAGAGAGCAGCTGAGCACCATTAAGAACTAACAAACTCCTGGCAGCTACTTTCAACATTCACTTCACTGACACCACAGAAATGCTTTGGGAGTGCAAAACCTTCCTCTTCTGTGTTTTGTCGGTCTACATCACATCACTGGTGGTGGGTAAGTATTGTGCCAATGAAGGAGATTTGCTCTGCTGCATCATTTTTCCATACAGTTATTCTAAATATGTATGCAAAGAGGGTTGAAAGACGGAACAGGGACTGTGTTATGTGAGTTTTTGTCGCAAGTCAGTGATTACGTAACACATAGCACCATATATACAAACGAGGAACTTGTCCTCTACAGTAAAGTGGGATTCTTTTTCTGCTATCTGCCTTCCAAGTGTCTTTGTAAGAATCAAAGAAGAAAATGCTAATTTCACATTTTACTGGTAATACTTAATGTATTACCAGTAAAATGTCCTAAAGATGGCTGTCAAAAGTGAAGCTATTGTCCTAGCAGAAAAATGCCTGAAGTGACTAATATAGTACTATGGCTGACATTATTAGATTGTTAATCATCTGATCATTAAATATGCATAGACCTATAAAACTTGTCAAGAAGTCCCGATTAGGCACTGCTTCATAGTTGACTGAGAAATGTTGGTTAAATGTGTGTTGTAAATTACTGATGACGTAAGGGGTCAGATAAACGTAGTAGAGACAAATTTTAAATAATTACTTCCAAATATAGTAAAGCCAAAGTCTTAAAGCTGCACAGGACTGCCACACTAATTGTTATGTGATGTTTGAAGTAAAGGGGAAGACAATTGGTTATCCAGTTTTGAAAAGGTTATCAGAATCAGAATCAGAATACTTTATTGATCCCTGGGGGAAATAGGATGCTGTGCAGCATGTAAATAAAAACACAATCCAGTGATTTGTGAATCATATGAACCCACATTTCACAATAACATCAAAGGTTTAAACTGAGATAAATCTACTAATCAAAAATTGAAATTCCTTTTTAAAAACATGGACTCTTCCTTCCATAAAGAGGAAAGGGACCATCCAACTTGTCATCAGTGTTTAGTTCGAAAACCTGCAAGTCTGATGGTATAGGGGTGCATTAATGTCTGTTGAACTGGCAGCTTACACGTCTGGAAAAGCGCCATTAATCCTTAAATGTGTCTATAGGTTTTAGAGCAGCACATACACTCATATTTGTGCATATTTTAGCAAGCCAATGGTAAAACACATACTGCATCTATTACAACAGCATGGCTTTGTAGTAGAAGAGTGGTAATCACAATGCTGTCAAATACAAAACCCGCAAGTTTTATTTCGTGATACAGTGAGGCTAAAACAACAACTACATAGTATGTATTACGCCCTTCTACTTCTACTAGCTTCAGATGAAAGGCAGCAAGATAATCACTGTGCTGATCTCAACAACATCACATGGCGGGAATACCAGCAGCAAAGAGTCAGACTGAACGTCCAGTATCTGCTGCTGACCAGGAAAAACATGGACTGTCCACAAGCATTCAATGAGACGTCCCTCACCATGGAGAACTCCTACTTCAACCCCTCGCGTCCTACAAAGGTTATCATCCACGGGTACAGGTGAGATCCTTATTTAGTTTCAGAGTACGAGCCTCTGAATCTTTAAATGAAACAAATGTAATAGTTTTGGACCGATTAGTGCTATTGCTATTCTGTGCACCAGTTATGTTAGAGTAACAGCCACAGTCAGTGTTGGGGAGTGACGGAATACATGTACCGCCGTTACGTATTTAAAATACAAAATATGAGTAACTGTATTCCGTTACAGTTACCGTTTAAAAAGGTGGTATTTAGAATA